CTTGGTGCTGCCACTGTAATTCAAATATTTCCAGTATTCGAATATGAGATGACACTAATTTAATCGAAGTAATTTTGTAAAAGTGTCAGTAGTGCTGCCACTGAAACTCGAAGGGTTTTTATAATTACGCACATTCAAAACCTAATTCATTTCTTTCTAGTAATGCAGATAGATGTTTAGTTGCAAAAGTTACCAAAATGAAATAAAAGTTACCAAGTTACCAAAACGTTTAAAAGTTACCAATTTTGGTAGAAAGTTACGAATTATGGCAACCATGGTGTGGGCACGTTGATGTCTTGAAATAAGCATTCACCACATGACGCCACCAGATAATATTCTCTCAATTTCGGTGTTTAAAAACATTTAAATCTTAAAAAAATATGCTGAATAATTTCCTAAAACGTAATCATAAATGATCCAAATTTGAACATATTCTTATTTTGATTTAATATCAAATTTTCATCGATGTTATCACCAGCACGCTTTCTTTCAAATGAAAATATGGCCGTCAAACTATCAAATTGCCTGCAATAGATGTCAAGCAATAACCGCTGACATATATTGCACCCCATGAGAAATAGGCGGTCTCCATTGGAAATATATTTTGTGCCATGGTTATCACGACATCAGTGTTTTCCTGTGGAGACAGGGCCTAAGCAAGCCCGTCTATACAGTGTTGCCATTGCGCAACTAAAGGGTAAATTTGACCCTTTTTGAGCGCCAATACCCTTTGACCCGACTTTTTGAATATTTAGATTTTTTGACCCTTTTCCAAAATTATGTGCGACCTTTGCCCCTTTTCAGAGATTTGTTTTAGGAAATGTTAACAGAACCATGCTATCAAAAAATATTTCCTCCTGTAAGTATGTAAAAATCACTTAAAACTTTTAAGGGAATTGTAACTCTTCTCGATTTATGTGTATGTTTGCAACCTTGTTTTGTGAAAAGCTTGTCCAACTATTTTCTTTTTAAATTCAACAAATTTATTTTTTACTAGTAAAGAAAAGAAAAAATAGTATGGCGACTCTTTTTTCGTCAATGAACCCCTTTTTTCGAATTTCTGAAAATTCCCAACGGCAACGCTGAGTCTATACATAACGATTATTGGGTCATCTGTCCCTTGCGAGAGGCTTTTCTGAAAAACAGATACAACTATATTAGAATCTCGACACCGCCTTTCAGGAAAACACTTGGAAAAGTTGATGTTTTTGGGAAATATAACCAAAAAGGAGTTATTTTGTTAAACACATTTTATATGAAAAGACTTTATCTATTAATCTTGTAGAAATGTATTTTTTTGTTTTTGAAATCAAATACTATAGAAAAATAATTGTTGTCTTAAATTTTTTTCTGAAAAATTATTAAAAGATAAATAATCTTGTAAAAATGCATATTAAAAAGAAAAACAATACAATGGCGCATATTCAGAGTCATATTTAGTACTCAACTAAGTCGAAACTATTCTAAGTCACAACTAAAGCTATTCATAGTCGCCTTAGTTTCGACTTTTCTGGCTAAGTACCAACTTAAAATTTAGTTTCGGCTGCAGCTGCAACTAAGTCTGTATGTAAGTGTATGTTTCACAGCATGCTTTCGATAAACATCGACTTCACATCACCGCGGTTGTTCTGGCTATTTCACACAATTAACAAGAAAAGGATACCTTATTCTTTTGCATAATCATGCAATGAAAATAAAAATTACATAAACGAATGATCAAACTTGACATTATTTAATAAAAATGTAATTTGTATTTTTCACATTCGTTTTGCTATATCGTAAATTAAGTCGGAAACTATTTAGTAGAAGTCTGAGATACGACTATGAATAGAGGTAAATTTTAAGTTGGTACTTAAATTTAAGTTGCAACTTTGTTTGTTTCGACTTAGTTGCTGGACTATGAATACGCGCCAATTACTTTGAAAAAATGCAAAATCGTAGGCAATGAACAAGTACTCTATACCTTTCCGATACTGAGTAGGTATCGATACCTTGTTTGATACAAGTATTGATTTGAGCATGATAAAAACATTACAAGGTAAATTCATTCTCTCATTTCGTCGGCCATGATTTTTTTCTGACGTTTGCCAACATTTTAAAATCATATAAAATTGAAAATAAAAAAATTAAATTGTTCACAATTGTTGTTGTTTGAGATTGAAAATGAGAATGTGTGTGTGAGTTTGAGTTTTGATTTTAATATTATATTGTTGGCAAACGGCAGACTGCCTCTCAATGGTTTTACCTGTTATGTTTTTATCATGGATTTGAGTAATATCTTGATGGTATCGATTTATTCAGATGCATGTGTGTATGTACATATGTATGCGAGCGTACTATCGATAGTTTCTTTTCGAAATGGTCATTCGATTTTGGCAGAGACGTTTCTCCAAAAACAAAAAATCGATAGAACAATCGATAGTTTTGCAACTCTATTTGTCGTGAAAAGTGCTACAATTTGTAAACACACTTATAAACGCATTTTACTTAAGTATGCAGCCTTTACTATGCTTTATAGTTAAAAATGGAGAAAACAGAAGGTTTTTACGATCTATGCATACCTTATGAGCAGGACGAAAAAATCTTGCAAGATATCGTCAAAGAAGCCCTAAGACGTAAGAAATCTATTTTCGTTATTGGGAAAGTAAAAACTAACGTTTTTTTTTTGTTTGTTTTTAGTGGGCTACAAAACCATTG